TTTATGAAAAAAAACCATGACAACAAAAAATCGTTCACATTTCGGAGACGCCAATTGTACATAGTTTTTGTTTCACCCATAATATAACAAGTGGTATAATTATATGATATGATGATGATATATCATCGATGATATTTTCGAATTGAAACCGCTGTGATAAAATGCGTAACCATGGAATACTGGCATTTTATTGGTTCTAATTATAATGAATTGTATTGTCAATGAAATATCTCAAACGGTTTAGAAACTATAGAGCCTGACTAAATTAGTTTAGTACACCCTGTATATTTACTAAATCCTATAATCTATTTCGAATGATACGATAATATTTTTTTAACACTTTTACATTTTTACTGGATAAAATATTTATTTTAAGTGAAGTTATTTAAAACTTGTCAAAAACCGGCTTTTTAAAGTAAAAAAAGAGCTTATTTTTTATAAATCAATAATTATTATAAAAACGTTTATTTTAAAATTAATCTACAAATCCGATAAATGTAATGTATGTAATATTAAAAATATCTTACTATTAACTGCCTCGTTTTCTGTAACAATTGAACCTTAAAATAATTGTAAATAAATATATTAGTAAAAATATATTTTACAAACTATTTCTTTTATTTACCGTTTATTTCAGAACCGGACTCAGCCGAAAGCATCTTTAGTTGTTGCTGAAAATGCAACTCGCTCTGATCATGTTTTGCTCGTTTATCATTGCCACTTTTCACGCAACACAAACAAATACTAAACAGTCCTAAAAACGTCGAAAACGAAACCAAGAAACTAATTAAAAACCAAAATATTAACCAATAATCAAAACTAAAATCCATAATTTAAATCATTTGAGTGTGGTATACAGTAAATTTTGACTATAAACTATATAGTAGGTGCTGTAATCAATAATAATAAAAGTGTGATATCTTATTAGCTTTTTGATAAAATGTGAAACTCACCGATATGACTAACGATTGAGAGAAATATTTGTGTTATCTTGATATTTACTTAATGATAGTCCTATTTTTTTCTATTTTTAGCTTAGTTTACAGGAAACGAAAAATTTGTTTGATATTGTATTTATTAGTATATGTATGTACCCCAGAGCCAAACTGTATTGTCCACTTTTTTAAAATCACGTTACAAATTTGTTGTCTAAGTTTTCCTTTGGTAAAGATGATTAAGCCCTGGCTTACTTAGTTTTTGATAACAACATTAAAAAGTAAGAAAGCCGGACTTAATTCTGTTTACCATTGGAAAGAGAGAAAAATGTGGGCAAAAAATATGTAATGTGATTTAAAATAAAATGGACTTAAGTCATTTTAGCTCTGGGGTATAGATATGTTTTTTTATGGCATATACCTAGCTAGTAAAACAAAATATTTCCCGCTGTGTATTTTGATATTAAAATTAATTTTTATTTAATATACAGTGTGTCCCCGGATTGACTTGATATACCTATTCAAATACGGTCCCACCTGAATTACTACATAATTTCACCATTCTTTTATTAGAAATAAAAATTTTTCTTTGATCACATCAGTAATTGTGTTTTTTAATCTATCCAAATCATTGTTGAAGTTGTCTTTATAAACTTGTTGTTTTAGTTTACCCCAAAAATAAAAACCTGTAAAATCCTGACTTATTTGTGTGTATGGTTGTGGCCGAAACCTTAAATTTATTGTTATCAAACATTTTTTGTCTCAACCAAATTCATTTGAACAAGGTAATTTTGTAAATAATTGTACAATATCTCGAAATTCATATATTGAATAAAAATATTAATTTGTTTTTGGGTCATTATACTTCTTGCCCCCATCTTCCTCTAAAAAATAAATATTTCACATTTCCATATCCATTGTGACAATTATTTAGGCAAACTAAAGGTAATTCTTATGTTATTCTCAGCAGTAAAGTTTCGCTTAAAGAGTCTCTTATTTTAAGTTTTAATGTCGTAGCGATAGTATGACAAAAGAGACATAAAAAGAAGGAGACTTTTTTACAATAAAAAAAATGTTTTCCAAGTGACACATTAAATGCACATAAACATTGCATCAATTAAAAAAAATTGGTTTAGTTTACATGAAAATGTAAAATTAAATACTGCAAATACTTAACGAGTAAATGCCGTAACGAAAGATGACCTTCAAAAATCACGCACTCCTTGTTTGTAACGCGCAAAATAACAATAGCGATACCATTCAGGCAATGCCTGCAGCGGCGCCATCTCATGCCTGAGTTATAAACTACATGGTTATAAACTACAAAGTTATATGTAATGCTAAACTCAAGCATATTTTATAACAAAGCTGTTTTTATTGAGGTGGTTTGGGACGAAGTAGACATTAAATATAAGGACAAGGTTTGGTCAAGCTTAAAAAATTATTTAAACATTTTAGCACATTCTTTATTAGTACTGAAGAGCTACTTATTTGTTATTTCATTTTAGTTTTAGAATTCTGTTTCATACAAACCTTATGAAGTATATCCAAGTTTTCACTGTTGCAATTTAATGGGGGCATTAAAAATAATTTTATATTTAATTGAAAAATGTTTTATTAATTGTTGTTATTTTACGTCAATATGTCGCGACCAAAAAGTTCATTCTTTTTCAAAACGACATAACTTTTTTGTTTCTTGAACTATTTCATTTTGGTCTGTGTTGTCTGAGAGCCTCATCCTCTGGCAATTTATGCTATAGATAAAGCTCACGGTTCTTCAAAAATTTTAATAACTTCATCCAAGCCCCGTTTGTAAAAAAAATATTTTTTTCTCGTTTTTACTTTGAAATAATGAAGTATTATGTCTTTTCTTGAAATATTTTTCAAATTTTTCGAATTGGTATCTTAGCAACAAAAATATGATTTTTTTCCAAAAGAGTACATTTAAGGGTTTTTGTAGGCAATACACAGTCAAGACATTAAATTTTAACAGCCGGAAATTGTTTTCGAATTTTGATTCTTGGTGATTTTGGTTTTATCTGAAACTTAAATTTGACAACTGAATCACAATCAGGAGGTCAAAATTATAAAGAAAATTCCACACCTGTAATTTTTAACCAATCAAAACGTGTATTTTTGATAGATCACCATGGCAACGGTTGAATTTTAGTGGAAATTTTTTCCTCGTGGGTACCCAACAGCGAATTATACTGGAAATTTTTTTGACGTTTATAATGACAGAATATTTTTTTGACAATCTGGTTTTTATTTGTTTACATGATAATTTTGATACATTTCCATTACAAAGTTTAGATGTTTTCTATATTCGTTGGACACCTCCTTTCTTCTTAATGGCGAAAATGCAGGACTTGAAATAAATTAAATGTCTATGTCTAATGACACTATTCTATTCACCTTTTTTTCCATTTAGCACTTTGAGTTTTGAATAGTTAAGAACAATTCAAAACAAATTTTCTTTCTTCAAGTAGGAGCCACAATCCTCTAATAATGCGGGTAAATAAGTCATTGCACGATGATTGATCATTACAGCAGACAATTTCACATTTTTTTACATCGTGCCGCTTGACAGCTTCAAAACTGAAATAACTTTTAGGTTGGGGTTGACTTAGTTGCCATGGTAACTAAATAATCAAGTCGAGGTCAAGTTAAATCAAAAAATAAATTTTAATTATTTAAACACAATTTGGTGTGGAATTTTCTTACCGAATACCACACGAGGTCAAATTAAATCCGGAAATTTTTTCTCCCTCATGAATATTTTTAGAAAATTATCCCTCGTCTTCGACTCGGGATAATTTTCAAAATATTCATGAGCTCGAAAAAATTTCCGGAAATAATTTGACCTCTAGTGGTATTACTAGTGAAAACATGTCACGATTCAGGTTTAGTTTTCGCAATTTTTCACCAAAATGTCATTTTAAAAAAGTGGTCTTCGCTTAGGCCCCTCTAAAAATAATGGAAGTTTGTTGCTTGTCGCTTGTTCAGAATTATTCAAGGAACAATCTTTCACCATTTTATCTTCTTGTTCTTAAAAAGACTGAGTGAATTGCCTAGGTACCAAAAACCCTTAAATGTACTCTTTTGGAAAAAAAATCATATTTTCGTTGCCAAGATTCCAATTCAAAAAATTTGAAAACCTTTTGAAGGTAAGACATAATACTTCATTATTTCAAAGTAAAAACGAGAAAAAAAATATATTTTTTCAAACGGGGCTTGGATGAAGTTATTGAAATTCACCGTTTTACATATCACCCTGTATGAAATTTACTTAAAGAATCTTGAGCTTCATATCTATAGCATGAATTGCCAGAGGATGGGGCTAGCAGACATCACAGACCGTTTAAGAAATAAAAAAGTTATGTCGTTTTGAAAAAGGACTAATTTTTTGGTCGCGACACATTGAGTGGTGCACAGTTTAGTTCCATATTAACTTTCTCAAGTTATTTTCTTGTTTAACACAGATTATAATAATTTAATAAGAAATGTTACGGACAACTGACAAATTACATTAGGGTAATTCAAAAAAATCGATTTTTTTTAAATTTCGACACTGAAAAATTGGTTTCTAGAAAGTGCTCACCAAATTTTAGCTCCTAATATTAATAGGAAGATCTTCCATTTCAGTTTTCCATTTTTTCTTTAGTCCCTAATAAAAAAGACCATATTTTATTATTAATCAATCGTTTAATCAAATCTTTATTCATATTTTTGTAGGAAATTGAAAGCTCTACAAAAAAGAACTGATGTGTTTAAGCGATTACTCTAACCATTTAAAAGATATTCAAGATCAAAGTTTGAAGAATTTATAAAAAAAAATCCCATCTTCTCAACGGTGAAAGTAATCAATTAAAAACATCGGACCTTTTTTGTAGAGCGTTAAATTTCCTACAAAAATATGTCATACTCATTTGACAATATTTATATTTCTGAGTTACAAAATTATTAAAAAAAAATTAAATCATTAAATTATTTAGTTTTCTAAATAGGGCCAATCATTGTCAACTGGCAAAAAACTACCATTTACGCCTATTTTTCCATTTACAGCGGGAGAAGACGGCTTCATAAAAATCTGGTCGCGTAGCGGCATGCTGCGTAGCACCGTGGTCTCGGCCTCGGACAGCTCGGTGTACGCGGCCTGCTGGTCCCCGGACAGCCAGAGCATCGCGTACACGCAAGGGAAATGTGTGGTCGTCAAGCAGCTGGCGCCCAACACGAAACCGCTCAGGGTGAGTCGTAATCCGCAATCCCCTTCTTGTCTCATGTCTCTCGATTTAAACGCCTGCACTATGTGCTGCACACCCTCTGCTTCTTAGAAACGCTTGTTGCACAAATCGACGACAAAGATGTTCGATTAACACTTAAGCCCCTGCACACTGAACGGTTACGAGGCTTTTGTGTGACAAGTGTGTTACGTAGATGTATGAAATATTAAGGGTTTAAAGAATTTTAATGAAACATGTTTCTGGAAGAGTAATGGGGAAGATATCCCGCTGTTACTATCTCAGAAATACTTCCTTATTTAAATTTTGTGTTAAGTTAGAAACTACACACAACCAATCTTATATGGAATCGCCCAGTGATTACGAGAAATAAAAATGAATTGAAATAAAAAGCATTTTATTCAAACCCACTTTATTGAAAAAAAAAAAGATAAAAAACCTTAAAACATTTTGTATTGTACAAATAACAAAAAAGGTGAATTTCTCTGAGAATAAACTTCAAACTAAAATTTAAAAAAAAATAATGGGTTTTTGTTAATTAAATAATCAGTATTGCCACCTCTAGCATTAATGCAAGCATTAATTTGTATTGTACAAATAGAAAAAGGTGAATTTCTCTAAGAATAAACTTTAAACTAAAATTTAAGAAGAAATAATGGGTTTTTGTTAATTAAATAATCAGTATTGCCACCTCTAGCATCAATGCAAGCATTAATTTGATGAGGCATGCTTTCTATTAGGTTTTGAATTTCTTCTTGGGAAACATTTCCTTACCCCTCTAAAACTGCTTTAATTAGTTTATCTGTATTGCCAGAACCTTATTTCACAATTTGATTAATATAATCCTTGTTTTAACATTTTTCCTTAAGTTCTCAATTGGATCAACAGTCACACCTTCGATTTCCAATTTTTGGCAACTCCGCTGATAAATGGAGGTGCATTATCCTGTATAAATCACGGAAAGCACCTTTTCAGAGCTTTACTACGGGTTGTAGAACTAAATCCACATACCTTGGACCTCTTAGGGATTGTATAATAGGAATCAAAGGAATGTTTTCACCAACCATAAAGTCACCCTAAAACATTACACTTTCTCCTTTGCCTTGAGGGATCGATCGTCCAGCTCAGAGTCTAGCTTTACTCCCCCGACCTCTTAAAATACGAATTTGCCGGTCGTATAATCGTAGGCCAATTCTCGACTTATCCGATAATAAGAAATTTCTCTAATCCAGTTTTAATGCTTCAAATACCAATTTAAATGGCCAACTCTATTTTGCACCAATATTTTTGGAACCCTTAACTGTGTTCTGCGATTTTTTTTATTTATGCCGGATAATGCACTACAGCTGATAAGCAGAGTTGTTAAAAACTGTTGAGAAATGGAAAGTGTGACTGTTTTAGAGTGGCCTTCTTGTTCACCGGATCTTAATCCAATTAAGAACTTAAGAAATAAGGTTAAACAAGGATTAGAGCCCGTTAACACAACCCGGAAACGTAGAGAAACTAGTAGAAGTACCCCAGTAGCACAAAATAAGGGGCGCGTCTATGTCCAATATTTTATCTGGGACCAATATTGGATTTATTTAGCCGATGTTAGCCCTATATTTGCATAAAATGATAATTTAATATATCATTGCCAATGTTTATCCAAGGTTGGTCCTATATTGGCAAATTATTTTACGCCAATATATCAATAACTATAGTCAACGATGCTTTCGGATTTCTAAAAGTGATATATATCATATGTAACGACACACGTTTGTTTCCAGAATATGTCTAGTGGCGCAGAAACGGTTTTAAGTTGGGGGGTGGCGCAACCGACTACCATCCTTATTGTTTAGCACCAATTGGGTGAAAACAATAAAGGCCATTCTTGCATATTACCGTAAGAATAACAAGGGTTATATGCAATTTCTTGTCTTATAATAAGACTCTTATTAGCAATAAAATTCGTTATTACGTTAATAAAGCTCAAGCTGATCATTTTAGCACACGATACAAACGATTTTAGCATTTCATCGTAATTAAGAATAACATAGACGGTACATGACTTGTCTTATTGGTAGATTTTTTCAAAGAATTTGGAGGGTACATTTTATATCAAGTAACCCCCTCTCCCCCTTATCATTTGGATGGGCATTGTCATTTTTGGTTATTAAAAGAATTCTTTTAACCGTATATCTGACAACGTTTCGGTACAATCTCATGTACCATCTTCAGGTCTTATCTGCTGGGCTGCTGTTGCTGCGAGTCAATACATAATATATTATAACGCCAGTGAAAATCTAAAGCAGCAGAGCGCAACAGCAGCCCAGCAGATAAGACCTAAAGAGGGTACATGAGATTGTACCGAAACGTTGTCATACATACGGTTCTTTTAAAAACCAAAAACCGACAACACGGAGCAGATCCCGGAAAACCATCAATACATATAACTGCCGTGGAAACCTCAAGCAGAACATTGATCTCGTTAATTTGCGTGGCGTTTTGGTGGTTTTAATAGCTGGTTTCCATGCAGTTGGTAGTCTCTGTGTATCGTCTCTTGTGTTGAGGTTTCTTGGTCCCGTCTTCGATGCTAGCCAAGACCCTTGTTTTTTAAGTCAATTTCATGGTAAGTTTTTCGGACGTTTCAGCTAAGGAAGATGTTTTTTATTGCTTCAAGACTGCGGTACGATGTTCTTCGCGTCTATCGTTGATACGTCTATTTTTCTGTACCACGTAGCTTCCGTCACAATTCTTACAAGAAATTTCGTACACCCCTTGTGCCTCCAACTCTATTTTTGGCTTGGCGTTTGGAAGTATTTGACTGATCTTTCTTGGGGCGGTAATTGTTGTCTCAATGTTATGTTTTTTGAGAACTTTGCCTATTCTCTCAGTTGTCCTTTTCACGTAAGGAAGGAAGGCCTTCGAAGTTGGTTTGTTGTTCTCGTCTTCTGTGGTATTTAACCGGCGTCGTGGTCTAAGAGCCTTTTTAATGATGGTTTTGGAGAATCCGTTTTGCTGTAGCGTCGTTTGGATTTTCAGGTCTTCTTGTTTATTGTGGTCATCATCTGCCAGCCTTTCGAATCGAGTGACAAGTGTCTTAATGACTGACTGCAGTTGTGACGGGTGGTGGTGAGACTGGGCGTGTGTCCTAAATTGCCATTATTTTTCTTGATTATGAAGACATCCAGAAAAGGTAATTGGTGTTCTTTCTCGGTTTCCATTGTGAACTTAATCTTTTTGGATATTTCGTTGAGATGGTCCAGGAATTTCTTCAGTTCCGCTTCTCCGTGGGTCCACATGATAAATATGTCTTCTACGTACCGTAGCCATAACTTTGATTTTAGTGTTGCCGTTTCGATTGCTCGTACTTCTATGTCTTCCATGAATAAGTTAGCTATTGCTGGGGATTTTGGGAAACTGACTATTAAAAAACAAGGGTCTTGGCTAGCATCGAATACAGAACCAAAAACGTACCATCCTTGAAGCCATTGAAATAGAAAAATGTTCAAGAAACCTCAACACAAGAGGCGATACACAGAGACTAAGCTTACTGTTGCGCAATAATATATAAAAAAATACATTTAAGTGTATATCTCCACAACGCCTACATTTAATTTTTCCTGCAAAGTAAAGCTAATAATATCACTATTTAAAAAAAATGTTTGGAAGATTATATATTTTTTTAGTTGAAAACGCCAAATGTACTAGGTGGCTATCTTTTTTTCTTTCAATTTCTCCCTCAACTTTCCTAAAATATAATGTAAAACAACCTCGGGCCAATGCGTATTTCCAATATCGGTTATATTATGTCAAACAACTTCGGGCCAATGTTGGGTTTCAATATTGGACCATGCTAGAAAAAATCTGACGAAAGATATATTGGCCAAATATTATTACGAATATTGGGCCAATATCTTTGTGCTACTGGGGTAGTTTTAGTTCAAATTTATTCTAAGAGAAATTCACATTTTTTGTAATATATCTAGAAAATTTGTTTTAATAAATTTTTCTTTATTTTTTTAATAAAATTGGTTCAGAATCTGAACTTCATTCTTGTTTTTAAGTTGAATAATCGTAATTACTGGGTGATTCCATATAAGTTTGTCTGTGGATATAATAATTAGTTTAAAATTAAACTTCTTGAAGCATTTATCATTTTTTTCAAAATTAATACTAGCTCGATTATTAAAAGCATCTATACTTAGTGGGTCATTTATTTTTTAGGCGTTTTCATGCATACTCGAGTCCAGTGGCGAAGCGTGGAGTTTTTGTATGGGTATAAAAATATACGGTTAGATGAAAAAAGTGTGGTATAAAATCAACAAAACTCTGGTCAAATAACAAATTAGGATAAAAACATAGAAACAAACTAAAAATATATATTAATTAAAAATAAAGAAAAACTATACAAAATTAACAATGGTTAAAAGTTTATTTAAATTTGTTTACAACCACTTAAAAGTGCTATACCAATTCTGCGCACATCTGTAAGTATCTATAAGCAAATCTGTAACGTTCTATAAGCTTATAGACAATTTGCAATTCTGCGCTTCCTGTAGCTTACAGAAAATCTTATAGAATCGTAAATATTTACGATCGGGTGTTTCCCAATCGTTGCTAGTTACAGTTTGTTTTTGTTAGGTTATGTAAAGCTATTTTAAAGATTAAAAACATAAATATTTTTAATAATGTCAATGTGGATATGATAATGGTAATATTTATCAATTGGGACAAGCAGCCTGGGCCAACTACATTAGAAATAATTTCAATTTTGACTAAATAAAACAATAATTGTATTAATACAAAAACTTTATATTTATATTTTACATATGAAAATAAAATAATATTCTTAAAAAAAATAAACCACAGCCTACTCAGTCAAAAAAGAAATAAACAACAAAATAAATAAATATTCTAATTAGTCAAATATCAAAATTTGGATTTAAAAATTTAATTTTTTTCATTTTAAATCCTAATTGTTCTTCTTTCAGCCTTATATAATTTTCTAAATAGTTTTTAAT